GCCCCGCCCCAAGCCTTTAGAGACCAGAGCGACCCAATCCGGCCGCCTCGAAGGCCCACCGCCAGGGGCCGACAGGTGACAGCCCCCGACAGTCAGCGGTCAATGAACGGTTGGAGTCGAAAAGGTCCTCCCTGGCGCAGTACAGGCTCCGCATCCCACTCCACAATTTCCTCGGACCGACAGCGCAGCCCAAAATCGAGCGCCCTCGGCCCGCGACTCTCGAAATGATCCGCGCCCGCACCAGCCGGAACCACCCACATCGGACCGACATGCACCCGCGACGGCGCCAGGCCGGGGCCCCAGCGGGGTGCCCCCGCGAACGCCGTGATGAGGAAGCGGCCGGAGGCCATCGGCGCCGCTCGCCTCCGCACGACACCCCACCCCGAGGACCCCGCCATCGTCGTGCGACGCACTCAGATGCATATCCATGCATCTCATCCTCGGCCCTATCCTCGCGTCCCCTCTGCCCCCAGACTCCAACCCCCGCTCCCGCCAGGGCGCGCATCCCGATGCCTCGGGGCCGCGATCTCCCAAGCCAAGACCCCTCCCTCGCGCGCAGGACGCCCAAGCCGGTTTGGAGGCTTCTCTTACTGTGCGCCGAGGGGCAGATGCATCGACCACTAAGCTTGCAGAACATGCCGCTAACACAGCGCCCCACCTCTGAGAGGGCTGCCGCGTCGGTGGCTCCTCGACTCCTCGGTGGCCTTGCGTCCCCTCTCCCAGCGGGGTACCCAGCTACGGCCACCCGCGTAAGAGTTGCGCACCACTGTGGCCGGCCCTGCCCGTCATAAACGTCCGAGGGGGATGGTTCAAGAGTCCGATGAATCCGGGCGGGAAGTGCCGGCGGCCGCTGTTGGCCGTAGATCCGCGGTGCTGAGTGGGCGCGGTGTGATGAGTGTACATGCGGTGGAGGGCCGCGCTCAGTGTGAAAGGTACCATGGGACCAGGAGAAAAGGCGCCTTGCGCGATGCGTCCCGGTACAAACGCTCCGGAAGGGGCATAGCGGCGGGGACGGGGCGCGAGGGGGGGAATGAAAGTTTGAGAGATGGCGGGGCCTCTGTTGTTGGGCGGGGAGGTGGTGCGGGGGAGTCAAGATGGTGTTGGGGTGGCTGCCGAAGGCCTGCCAGGAGTGCGGGATGCAAGGCATCCGGTGTCCATCCCTATCCATGCACGGTTGCACCTCGAGGGCGTGTGCCCACGGATTCGACTTCATCCCCGCGATGGGAAGAAGACGAGCGTCTGTTTCACTGCGCAAGAGTTTGTGGACGAGAATGCGACGCCGGGGACGTGGGGGTTGCACCCAGATGGGGGAAGATTTGGCCCACCAACGAGTCGATGGATGGCGCCAAACAGTCCTGGGCTGCGGGACTGCAGATTTTGTCGGCGTCCGTTCAACAAGGCAGGGGACTTGCTCGTTTGAAGATCGACACCCAGGCTGGCAAGCGCCCGCCCGCTGGGACGGCCTGCGCCGCCAGCGGGTTAGTCACGCCGCCTGTCCAACGCTATGGTCCAATGGGCCCTTGGCGGACCACCCCTTGACATATGGAACGAAGAGATAAAAAAGCGGTGCGAATACGATGTCCATAAGATTCGTGTTGGTCACACCCCGCTGGGTGCTGGGTCGCGCCATCCGCAATCAGGCCATAATAACATCAGATTGCTTGTGATTCATGATAACATTGAGCTGGAACATGATCATTCATGATTTCTTAACAAGGACAAAAATGAAAAAGCCAGATTCGTTCAAATGCCCTGAAAGAAGAATGCAGCGAAAATACTACAGCGTAGTTCCTAAAGAAGTCCAATGGGGCATCATCCTGCCAGTTGGAAAGTGAGACCCTTGGGCGGGATTGAGGTCTCTTTCCGATATTGTGCGCTTCCTTCTATCGTGCATGGAACGTGTGACGCATAATGTGTATTCCCGCAAGCATGAACTTCATGCGTACAGTTCCCGCTGCTGAAAGAGCGTGATCCACGTTCCCATTATGTCGACTGCGTGGGATCCCATGTGCGCATCTGGAAGACCCCTCGTCTGGCATTACTGGCGAGAAGCACCCGACACGAGTGGCCACATCCCATCGAGCTCCATATGCACTCACTGGCGTGTAGCCCTCTTTGATTAAGCAAAGAGCAACTACACCGGTAGCATGGTAGCCAGTGTAAAACCACACTGATTTACCATGCTTCTGCCCTGTTTGGGAATGTTGGTGGCTCGGATATTTTGTGAGCGCACAGGGTGATATCCTTGAACCAGCCCTTGCCTCTCGGGTTCTCCACCTCCCCCCACTCTCACTCCCAAGGCTCACAGCCAATGGCCTGCAAACACTCTCGGAATGTTCCTTTCTCCTTGTCAGTGGAGGCGATTGACTCGGGCCTTCCAATGCAATGAGTACAGCTCATGCAGTAGATACCAGTCGTTAGCCAATTGCATGGGTTGGTCCACCCAGAGAATCGGTGGTCACTATGCGGGGGCAAAAACGGGCCCAATCATGAACCGTGTAATCATGACCTGTTGCAGGTTGGAGCGACAAGATTCCTCTCATTGCATTGCTCCAAAATTGACGAGACACAGCCCTGGCATCTGCAAGGCAATGTTGGGGGTCGGCTTGTTGTGCACGGATTGTCCAAACTTCGGTCACCGCAAAAGCACGGGTCCAAATGTCCCAGGTAGAGTTACCAAATAAATTTCGGCCTGCAACATCCATCCTTGGGGATGACACATCATGGCCACACACAACGTAGCAGCCAGTTTGCAGCCAGCATGTCAGCCACATCCAACATGTTGCACCTCCAACGCATGATGCAACGCCGCTGCAGTATTGACTATGAACATGGAATCGGCTTGCATCGCGGGACAGGGGGCCTTCCGGTATGGCACACCTAACTACCCTATCTGATGTCTAGGGCGCTTGTGAAGGCAGGGTACCTATTCTATTCGGGTCCTTGGTCTCAACACATGCGAATATAAGGGGCGTATGGCCACGGTGAGAGGTCCCAAGGTCCGACTCTGCTGGAACGGTAATCTGGAGTCCCAGACCCCACAGGCGAGCTCGGAGTCAAGTTTGAAACAGCGTGGACAGAATTTGGCAGGGATTGTGTGTCGCAATGGAGTTGTGCAAAGCTCCATAGTTATAGGCGCCAGCTTGTGAGCTTGATGCACCGATGGCAATATGTATCAATTGATCAGTTTGCCTGTCCTACTGCTCGAATGTCCCATGAAGGACTCTCCTTTAATGCCCTTCCCCATCACCATGCAACCGCCCGTTGCTGGTGGGTCATCTAGTCCACCAGGAGCTCGCAACCTATTTGGCGCCTTGATTGGTCGCCCCGTGCCTATTGCTGCCCTCGGGCACCTACCATGGTGTAGGACTAATGCCCCCCCCCCCTCCCCCCTCCCCCCCCCTTCACCCAACCAACCACGAATATCCTGTACTGGCAATCTAATCGCTCAATATACGATAATGGTATTCCAAATTCTATATCTGCTCGTGCCTTGGGAGCAACAGTCCATTTTGGGGCCCGAAGCCATGCACGACCGGCACCGTCACACGAGAAGGTAGGCAAGGGAACTTACACAATTCAATGCAAAAGGAAGCAAGCGTTGAGCATTCGAAAGCAGAATATAACAACACACCAGGGAACAGAAAACCCAGCCCACTGCCACAAATGTACAAGTACATGTTACAATCACTTCTTTTCAGCTCTCTGCTACATCTAATTGAGGGTAGCCCGCTGGCGGGCATCCTTTCCCTCAAACACAAGTGTCCATCGCACCCCTGGGCCAAGGTTCAAGAGGCGCTTAGAAGATGGACATGCACTGTCATCTATCAGCCAAGCGGAACGCAAGACGCTGCAGGCAGCCCCCGCGCCTCACCACGTCTCAAAATACACACTTCAAATAATACAGACTGCGGTCGCCCTGTTGGTCCCAAACTACTGGCGATCACATCCCAAATGTTGCACCATTGCGCCCATGAAGATCACACAGACTCCCCAGATGTTGTTTCTTACTCGTTCATGGCGTCGCTGCGTCCTGATCAAACTTGCCCTTTGGAGGGAGGCAAGGGAGGGTCCAATTATGTATAGATACATCGTCAAAGCAGAGAAGGATCCTAGGAAACTCAATCGAGGGCCCAGATTGTCAGCACCGGTCAATGCCACTGCCAGACGTTGTCAAACTGGGCACTACAGTAGCGCTCAGTGGCACCCAACTCAATCGTCCCACGCCATGTGCTACGGGGTGCCACATCCCCTCAGTTGGCAGACATCCACACGAATAAAGAAATCCCTGCGACGCCCCAAAATAAAATATGCAAGTCCATGGCCAAAAGGAAATATTTGTACACTGCTTCCCCAGATAGCATGCAATCGAAAACCCAAGTGCTGCCTCAAGAAACCCAGCCGCCTTCACCATCTACCCAAGCCCCTGATGGGGCAACCCATTACCTCCCCATTTCAAAGCTACTTATCAATGCAATGATTCCCAAAGGGCTGGACACGCACAAAGATAATCTACATCAGGATGCAAGTCCTGTAACCAAAGACGACCCAGATCCAGAGCACAATCCACACCTTGCAGAGCCAACTGCAGACAAGCCCGGCACAGACAGAACGAGCTAAAACCAGATGCTAACTGCCAGACCGCCAGGCACATCTGTATTTGTTTCGCTTGTGCATTCCTCTGGCGGGTTTCCACCCGTGTAACTTCGACGCACGGAGCAGGGCAGCACCAAGGCGTGTGTTAACTGCACAGCAAGGTCCTGGGAATATCACCCTATCATACACATACATCTGCAAGCACTCCGATTGTCAGCTGGGAGCATCTGTCGCGCAATATTTGTACTCTGCCACCACACGTCCAGGAAAAGAAAGAACAAATGCCACAGTGACAACTTCACCAGATCGCCCCAGCCACCAACCCACCTGCATCTGTGGGTACGTGGGCAGCTGACAAAGGTGCTGTGCAAAGCAGACAAAAGAAATCGATGTGCAGCCGTGGCTCATATTCTGACAGCTGTGTCTTCAGCCTTTTCACTGTCTTCAAAGTCGTTGCTGTCCATGGATGTGTGCTCAGCCACCTTCTCCTTGGGCGCTTGCTGGAGTCTCAAATACTCTTGGAGCTCTTCCTTCTTCACAAACCTCCCTTTGATCCTAGGCCGCCTGTCAGCATTTATCTTCCGGAGCTCGTATCGTATTTTCTTGGTATACAATCGACGCGCTTTCTTCTCGCGGTAACGCTGGAGGCACTGTGTGCGCGTCCTCCCGTCCTTCAAGCAGTTTGCCCCTGCCAACCGACAATCGACACAAACACTTGGCGAGGCTGGGTACGGTGAAAACCATGTGCAAGAATGCTCCTACTGAACTACTATCAAACTGCTAGCAAGGTCTGCTACTATCAAGTGCGGAGTCAATTACAGCTACTTAAAACAAAGCACTAAGCCTCACGGCCATTGCTCCCACAAGGTTGCCAAACTGAGGAGGATAGGTGCCGAACAGCTGCTTACTGCCTGGCAGATGGCAGGAGATCGGCTTGATGTGCTTCGAAAATTTGAACCAACGAAGATAACACCACTTGGTGTGTCTCCTAGTGTGCATGACCACCTGCTGCAACCTCCCTCTGTGGAAACCGCTGTCCCATAGACAGACATTATTGTTTGCACCATTGTTGGCAGCAACGAGTGAGATAGTGCTTCCTAAGACAGTGTGAACACAATACCAAAATGGCCGAAACGTCAAAAACGGCAGGAGAGGGAGGAAGAGGGCATTGTGAGGGTCTGGAAACTGGTCAGAAGGACCAAAACGTGAGCTGAAGGGGCGCCGGATGCCCCCCACCTTGCCCAAATGGCGGAAATGCGTGCAAAGGGAGACCCTGAGGGTGGACATGGGCCACTTAGCACCCCCACCTTGCAAAAATGGGGTTGCGGCTCCCTGATCGGGCTGGGGGAACTGTCAAACAAGGGGGTTGTTCAGTACCCGTCTTTCCTCCCATTTGGCAAACTAAATCACGCTGGAAGTCATTTCAGTTGATGCTTGGTGCCCATATGGGTGCAAAATCCCCTGTTTGGTAGATCTGATGGCCCACACAACGGCCCACCTGTGCAACGCTTTGGCACAAAGGGCGTGTCGCACTACCGCCCTGATATTCTGCGATTCAGGCTGTTTCAGATGTGTTCTTCGTTTCAGAAGTTGAAGCTGCTTGTGCCATTTCAGGCCTTTCTGCTGTTTGGGCATGCCGCCTGTTGGGTGTTTTGTCCCACCAGAAAAGCAGTAACACGCATGTGGTGAGTGCAGATGCCGTCCATTCAAAATTTCTAAAGCTGATACACCCTAACTGGGATTCACACTGGCCTTGATAAGCAGGGCTCCTTGCACATGTACTCCCTATGGGTAAGGTCACAAGTGTGAAATGCCGCGATGCCAGAGCTGAGCATTGTATATGACCCAGCAGGACCATTTTGTAACGGTTCGCCTCCTATTACGAATTCGCAGGGCAACTTGGAATAGCAAAAAAAGACAAAAACCACCACCTTGCATGCTGGCAACTCTGCCAGAAAATGGCACGATGAATGCGGCTGACGATTCGCCATTGGCGAAACCCATCCTTGTGGTGCTGGGAAAAGGCCTGGTTGCTGGCGCTGCCACCTGCTGAGCATTGCTCGCACAAACCTCAACCTTGGTCGCTGGGCCCCGAGGCGGAGCTGTGCCTGTCACTGGACCAGAAGACACCTGGCCAGAGCAGGATTGCTGAGAATTCAGAGGCCATTCATTTTTGCAATCCACAGCAAGGCAAACAGACCGGCATTTGCAATATCTGTATGTATTGTACTGTAGTGTGTGCTGTACTGTGCCATGCACGATACTGTGCTACACACAATAGTGTATTGTGTACTGTACTACACTGCACCATAGAGTGCTCTCTGTACTTGGCTATGCATTGTACTGTAGCGCATCTGTGTATATCCACACATGTCTTGACAGCAACCCCCTATCATCCATTCACAAATATCTCTGTATGTTCATCTGTTTATATATCCATGTGTACATCCCAGCTTTACTCCAAGAGGCATGCGTGTTGTACATATGTCAGGACAACAAGAAAGCCAGGTCCTCTTCATTGAAGTTCCAAAATCAGCGATCGCTGCACAAGCCATGCACATGGACACATCCCTCAACAGTACACTTGTGCACCCAATAGAATCTCTCAGCAGAGTACTTGAGGCAAGGCATTCAGTAATCTCAATGCAACCATTGCATCTCTATTTGGGCACCAAGGCCAGCTTCGTCTCTGGCCAGCAGTTAATTCACAAAGCTTACAGGATCATTTCCTCCCAAACACACACAGTGACAAAAGAAAACAAACAAAAAATGAGAAAACAAAGATAGGACCCTAAAATGTGCATTCCTCAACAAGTGCCAATTTGAGTAGGACATCGGGAACTCATGGTTGGACAAGGGTTCACAGTTTCCAAGACTGCTGCCAAACAAGCGCACCACATTGAACACAGGCGCAGCCAGCGGCGCCTCGCTGGTCTGCTGCTTGGCATCCGCTAGTTGGTTGCCCACCCCAGCCATGTCCAACGTCTTCTCCCCAACCCAGCAGTCACCAGCCTGTTCACCAGCCATGGTGATCCGCCCCGCTTCCGCAGCCGCCCAGCCAAAGTCGTCAAACCACAGCTGGCCGTCCTCCGCCAATTGCCACTCGCCTGTCAGGCTGTCCAGACTGGAGGCAGCAGCGCTGCACCCAGGCTCCACAATCAGGCGGGCCTGTGGTGCCAGCGCTTCTGTTGACAGTGTGCCTCCCAGGTCCAGCCATGTGGGTGGCTGGACACTGCCGCCAAGTCCCTCTTGGAGAATGGAACATCTTTCCACATCACCAGGCCCAAAGAAGTGTGATGGGTCCAAGGGGTTTGACAATGCATCCTGGATGGCAGAGTCTGGTTCGAACTCCACTTTGCCTCCCAATTTCTCCCACTGACTGTGCCACCAAGGGACACATAATTGACTGTTCAGTGTGAAAGTCAGCACTTTCCCAAAGAGCAGAGAATCAGATTGCGGTTTTGAAAAGGGAGCTGACAGATATCGCCTTTAGCCAATAAAGTGGCAGGGCAAGCTTTTGGCCACACTTTACAGACACAAGCAGGGATGCACAACACCAACGAGCACTCGACAAATGGCACAGCCTGGCACCAGAGGAGTTTGTGCTGTGGGGTGAGCATTTCTCTCAAACAGGGAGCATTCGATCCACCTTTGTGCATCTAGAAGCAAAAGGCTGCACAAGCAAACAAGCGTCACATCGCCTTGTGTGCGTTAAGTGAAAGAAGTATGTCCTGCACCTAAAGCGTGTCCCACACCTACAGCATCTGTAGAAAGCTGAATCCAGATACACTTGCTGGCAAGAAAGGGAACAGAACTAATACCAAATGGAAAGAGCATGAAGTGCCGAAATGATGCAGGGAATCGACTGCAGAGGGAATGTCAGTGCTGCTACAGACTCATTTATTCCTGCCACATGCACTGCTGCCTTTGGGAATATTCACCCTTGACAAGGAAAGGTGGAAGTGCAATGAAAATTATATGCATCGGCGTTGAGCCACGAATTCTGCGGTCACAACTATCGATGTCAGGGATGGTTGTTTGGGCGTTACACTGGTCGCCCCTCTCACAGGGGATTCACCCACCTGAGAACTCGACCATGGTCCAAACTGAGTGCAGGGAGTGTTTTCTGTCTTGCATCTTTTCCTACCATGTCAGCCTGACGCCACAGACAACAGTTCAACAACAGCACCTTCCCCTGCCGACGGTTGTGGTACAGAGACACAACTCACTGCACAATGGGCAGCCCTTCCTGAGTCAAATTGTTGGGCACTCCAAGCAATAAGCCAGGACAAGATGCGCACGAGTCCCTGGGTGGTTGAGAACAAACCCCAGGCAGCGACCACTTCCCAGAAAGGGGCCATGCTTACAGGCCCAAGGCGACCTGAGGAGTCAGGGAGAAGGCGTGATTCGGCTCCAAAGAGTGGTTGTGAACGCGTGGCAAGAAATCGCCACGTCGATCAGCTGGCGCTGGAGGGATAACAGGAGCAAGAAGACGGTGCCTTCCCTGCGGCTCGGTATTCGTTCCTGGCGCGCCGCGCGCAGACGGTGCGGAGCCCTTGGGGCGCTCAGCGCAGAAATCCACGATGAACGAACGAGGATGCTTGAACAAACGATCAGAGGAACAAGCGTTCGGATATGCATCCGGAATGAACGTTCTGTTGCGTACAACCCCTTCGTCGCCTGCAGCCGGAAGGGCTCCGCCCCCCCCTTGCGTATGCACGTGCGGCGCCCAGCGACTTCAGCTGCGCTGAAACGTAGCAAAACAACCAACGAACTTTTTCGCTGCAGGGCCCAGCATCGCTCCCAGCGCCGCAGCAGCAGCGGGGCAGCGCGCCGGCACATTTGGAATGCGAACCGCCGCGGCTCCAAACGCCGACGCCTCGCGGCCATCGATTCATCCCAGCGCCGCGCGCCCTGCCCACCCGCCTGCGTCGGCCCCAGGCCCTCACCTGGTGCAACGCGGGCATCTGTGCCGGTGTGACGCCTCCCGCCATGCCCGACTCCGCCCTAGCACGTGGTATTGGCGTCAGATTGAGGGGGGCCCAATGGCGGGAGATCCACCATGCCGCGAGCCTGCGATGCCGGAAAGAGGACTCGAGGGGATCAGGCCACCGGGCGTCACCCTCCAGGCCTTCGAGATTGGGACAGCGGGAGGAGCCAGAGCATCAGATGACCGGCGGGGGGGGCAGGGGGGGGGGCATCTCCGGGGGTCACGAGAAAACGTGAGGGGGGCGCGGGGGTTTAATGCCGCAAAAATCGCGGAGAGGGCCGTGAATGGAAGGCTCGCGTGACCGGGGGGACGCCGGGGGAAAAAATAATGCGAGGACGGGGTCCGGGCGGGGCTGGCGGGCGAGGCGCGGACACTCTCGGAACTCCGCGAGCGCGCCCGGCATCGCCGCGGTGCCGCTCCTACCCATAATGGCGGAGACGCGCTCGAAACGTCCGAGCTGCCGTGGCGATGGAGGCGGCACGGGGTAGAAAAAAATTCCATCCCGCCCGGGGCGCCCACGCGACCCTCTCCCTTCCCCCCCCCGTCGGACGGCTTACAGAAAACAACAAAGCACGACACACCCCAAGGCCAGATTCCATGCCCCAGGCGATTCGACACGCCGGAACAGGACGGCGGCGCGCGATCGGCGTTCGACCGTCGCTTCACCGTCCCCCGAATGGCGCCGGGCGCATCGCGCGCCGCCGGCGAGGAAACGCGCCCGCGGGCGCACGGCCCGAAATGGCTCAGCGTGGTCAACGTGCGAGCCCACTCGTGGAGAAAAATTGGTTGGAATGGGGCGAGGAGGGTAGCGGAGGGGGTTAAAAAGGACCGGGCGTTGGCGGGATCTTGGAGTGCGGTCGCGGGGCGGCGCACCTTGGGGGGGTGTCTTGGGCGGGGGCGTGGCAGGCGCGTTCGACGAGGTGGGCAGGACGCAGGTGCAAGGGGTCAAGGGGGCCTTGCCTCGAGGAGGCCGTTGAGAGCCAAGGGGTCCTCGGGGGTATTTTGGAACCAGCCCCCGTTGTGCCTGGAATAAAAAAAACGTGTTCTTCTTGGCTTCTTTGGAGTGAACTTTGGCTCGCGAGCGTGGTGTGGTGGCGAGCACGACTGCCGGGCTCTGGGGCGTCCGAACAGAGGAAGGGATCCTTCGCGCGGAGGCGGCGGTTCTTGTTCTCGCCTGCTCTGGCGCCCCTGGCTTGCTCTCTTTGTGCTGCTCAGTTTCGACGCACCCCTGGATGGATATCCAAGATATCTGTTTGTCCTCATATCTTTGCATATCTTTCCTCTCGCTTTTTGACGATGCTGCAATTGTTACGGATGGCTGTTGGGCGGCTGGTTGATTGATTGGTGTTTTGGGAATCTCAAGCAACAAAGGACGACCATTGCGGGGAACCTGCCTTCCCCATTGGACCAGCCCTCCGGCCGCCCTGATGACCTGATGCAATGCAGACACTGTGCGCAGGCAGCCACCACATTCCGCACACGCACCTCGCACCCCCACCACCTCGCCGCTGGCCCTCAGCCCCGCCGCCGGCGCTCATGCTGGCCGCCCGCGCCTTGGCCAAGGTCGCCGCCGGGCCGCTCGCCCCGCGGCTGTGGGGTCCCGGCCGCCGGCCCTGGCCGCGGAGCCTGGGATCATCCACCGTCGTGCGCGACTTGCGCGAATTCCTGGACCTGCAGACGTTCAAAGAGGGCGAGGAGAGGGTCGTGGGGTCCGAGTGGAAGGCATCCCAGCTGCGGCTCAAGTCGTGGGAGGATCTGCACAAGCTGTGGTTCGTGCTGCTGAAGGAGAGGAACATGCTGCGGTCGGAGCAGCTGGCGGCCCGGGCGGCGTCGCGGCCGATGGCCTCGCCCAGGAGGATCTCCAAGGTGAGGAGGTCGATGAACAGGATCAAGCAGGTGCTGAGCGAGAGGGCGCGCGCGGTGGGGGAGCCGGCGGAGCGGCGGCGAATGCTGGACATGATCAACGCGGTCTGAAGTGCGGGAGCGCATTGGAGGGTGGGGGATGAAGGCAATTGGGGGTGGGAGCGAGATGAGAGAGAGAGGAGGGGGTGGGGGTTGGGCGTGGGGGGTTGGGGGTTGGGGGTGGGTATTGGGGGTAGGGTGGGGGTGTAAGATGGGTCTTGGAGATGGGAGATGTGGGTTTGGGATAGGTACAACGGTCTGAAGGGATTCTAGTTGCAGACACAAGATAGTTCTCTTCAACAAAATGGAGAGCATCTCAAACGATGGGAACCCACCTCCTGGGCAAGAATTGTGGGGGGTGGGTTTGGGTGGGATTTCCTCTGGAATGGGTGAACGATGCTGGTCATCCTCCAAGCAATGAAAATGAGCTACTGCTCTTGGCGGGCATCTTTGGGTGGCTTTTTCTGGCTTGGGTGAACGCTGCCAGGCACTGAGCTGCAGCTTGTCCACGTGCACAAGTGGGGCGATTGATATTGCGTGCTGCAGGGGGGGTGACATGGCATGCCAACAAGATTGCTCCCATGGAAGCTGTGCACCCGATGCAGGTTAGATTACTTTTATCTGCATCATTTTCAGGGGGGACAACGGCTTACAGAACTCCCTAGTGCTGCATGAAATTCACCATGTGTGCCACAATGAAACATCAAATGATCATCCAATCGATTGCACCAAATGCAGGGTGACCTGACATGAATCAGCACATCTCTTTGCTGACATTCCGACTGTGACGATTCAGGTCAACATTTTCTGTAGCTGAAAGAAGTGTGCACCACAGTAAGCTTCCACTATTAGCAGTCCAGCCACCACAATTGATGCCGAGCTTTAGAGCCCGAAGGTGCCTGGACCTTTGCTGTGTAATTTTCCTACCATCACAACCCTCACACTGATTCTCTGGCTCTATGCTAGTTGTCCTATTCAGCATGGCTTCATACATGCAGGAAACAAGTTTCCAGAAGGTGGATGTATGTGTCATTTGCAAGCACTGCACAGGCACACAAGACCAAGTTGTGTGCTGCAAACATGCACATGATGGGATAACACTGTTATAGAAGTACGATGTCCTGGACAGGGAAAAGGATGTTGCTGAGGATGTGCATATCCATGATATTGGCGTTCTGTATCCTGGACGTGGGCAGCCCATATTGTGGACATGTTCTTGCCATATCCTGGTGATGCATATCCTTTGCGTATATTTTTTTGCTTCATCCCCAAGTATATTGTCATGTCCATTGATGGTTGCAAGTCGTATGCATTCTACTGCAATCCTCAGCCAACTGGCTTTAATTTTCCCATGTTTTGTCAGTTGCTTGCAGCAAGATGATGCTGGATTGGTCTAAGATGGGCATCGAGCCACACAGCATGGAGCCATGCTGTGAACACGCAGTAATCACCCTTTCTAGCTGTTGTGGCACCATTTGATAATTCGGCAATACAGGCATTCCCCTATTGTTGTGGTCATATGTCCACTGGTCAGAAATGGATTCAGTGACCATGCAAACTCCGTGCCAAGGACTCTGTTCTCAGTCTGAGAATGCGCTCAGGGGTAATCTCGTTGGGCACCAACTATCGAATCCAATATTCGAGTATGGAAATGCAAACAGGCTGCTGCAACCCCACACCACCATGAGGGTCACCAGCGATTGAAGACTACAGTGCTGAACCGTCTTGCGTAACATCGGCTTGTAGCGGCTGGGCTGGGACCAGCTGTTTTCGTGTTCAGTTTCAAGTTCAGCAACGCGTTAATTGCGAATCCAGTTTCTATCCCAACACAAGGCAAGCGAGGGTCATTTCATTTGACTCCTTACATAAGAAAAGCAGGTATGTGCAACTTCTGTTCGCTATCACACTGGAGCACACAGGCCCAGCAGCATCGCTGTCGTTCGGTTGCAAAACTGCCATACGCCATTGAGGGACATGTGCTGTGGGAGTACCTACATAGCGCCCACCATTGACATGGCCAAAAACAGGGTGCTATTGGGGCCCGGGCGCTGCAAAACCGACATACTACCACCGTTCCATAAGCCTTGTCTGTTACCCAATGTTGCCATAACTTTGCAATATCAACTCAATTAGTAAACCTCTTATCTGATTCTGATTCCTTGGTCTACTGTGGGGTAATGGGGATCTTGGTTACATTAGTCATCAATATACAGCAAGACCTGCGGGACGTCATCGAAAGCATCTCTATACATCTTAGTCAGGGCCTCAATTCCGGTAGTCTTGTGCTCACCTTATCCCTATGTGTGTCAGCCTATTTCCCCCCAAATTATTCGCGAACTTTGTTGTAGGCAATAAATAGGCAATGCTACAAGCTTTCCAGAATTCGGCATCATGGCAATCACACTCTGAAGACCATCTCTTCCGCTACGTTGACTCATGCCTTTGAAATTGTCAATTTCAACAATTCGCCATGTTGTCACCAATCTAGACCGTTCTCAGGCTAGCATCAGTATGCACGGCCTTCCTTACCTTGTTGCACCGTTTAGGTCAATGCTATTGCACTAATCTAGGTGTCTTTTGGCCTTCAGCCACAACACACGCAAAATCCCTGTTGACATCCAAAAATCTGCGGTACGGCGACATCTTTTGCTCTGTGGATTCCGTTTTAAATTTAGCCGAATCTGCATTGTATTCCAAAATACCAAGCCATTCATGTTGCCTAGAGACGACTCAACTCGATCCACCTCCTTCAAAGGGCAAGTCTAGCTCCCCATACCCCGCTTTAGGTCCCGACGAAAGTAAAGGTGGCGAGAGGGCTCCTCTTAGCATATCTCAAGAACGGCATCAACGTTTTCCACGCTCAAGTGCTCTATAAATAGCCATCAACATGGCACGCAGATGTTGTTTCGGTCGAATTCTTTGACTCGCACGTTTTGACCTCCACTTGTGTGATTTGGATAATGGACAGGACTTTGGAACAAAGGCAGTATTTCATTGCATTTACCCATATTTACACCATTTAATGAGACTTGCCAACATTTCTTCATGTAGTTGAAGACCCATTGGCAGTGATACGAGCAGTGTAAATTCCAAATTGACCCATCGCACTGGTGCACCCTGTGCCATAATGGCACAACATTGGAGCACCGTGCTGAAGGTTGCTTCAGAGTCAAATGTTCTATTTCTTGTGCAAACGATTGCACAGGTGCAAGGAAATGGACGTATCAATTCAATGCAAACCTCCAGCATGTTGTCCATCAAGCCGCCATTGGCATTGCATTGCCTGCATCATGAGCGTTGAATGCATGCTGCCTGCCAGTGCCGCATTATCCATTGTCAGGTTCCAATTTTGCACAAGGCAATGTTTGACGGAGTGTCTTGAGTTCCTAAATTATGCAATGCACCTCACAGCCTGCAGCGAACTTGCCATGCCGCTGCACACTGCACGCAGCCGATGTGAAATCTTCCTGCTGAGGGGTAATCGTGCTGTGGCAGGGCACAACCAGCCATAGCCACGCCCCTTCCACCCACCCACCCACCCACCCCTTTCCCCGTTGCCATCGCTCCAGAGGAGGGCCCTGCCCTACAGAATCGCGCCAGTGAGACCGCAACGCCACTGCTGCATCACCACAATCAGTGCCTCCGATAAAAAGTCGCAGCCCTCAGGGCGGCGCTTCCAAGGGGATCGATATTGGCATGATTGCCTTGAGCCTTGCGGCCCCGCTTTCGACAACACCTTGAGCCTGGATTCGCCCTGCCGGTCAGGGTTGGGCTCAACACTAGGCGGCCAGCACAAGGCATCCCTTTTTCCGGGATCGGCGACTGGAGTCGGGAGTGTGACTTCTTGCTAGAAAAGGGAGTGGGACGGCGCCCGGCGGTGGGTGTCAAAACATATGGTGATGCGGCTCAGTAGATTATCTTTTGTTGCCTCAAAGGGAGACCTGCAATCTAGTGTTGGTCAATGGCCTCCCCATGTTGTTTGCGCCTTCCCCTCTGCCGGATATCAGCCGCGAAGAGGTATTCGCTGCAGGACTACTTCCGAGTTTTCTGTACAGCTTGTTTAAAAGTGCTTCTTTTCTTCTGTAGTCGGACAGGCTGACCTCGCTCTGATGCATTGGGCAAGCAAGAGATGACAAAGTGCAAATGACCAGGCGGTTTCAAGCAGAATCCATTTCGATTGGGATATGGGGGCAGGACGCTTTCTGTAGTTTCTTTGCTTTCTGTGTAGGGGGTGGCATGGCTGCCGAGGTCATTGGGCTCATCGACGCCGTCATCAAGTGAGGAAAGGAGGCAAAGGCTGCGGTGGATGCCACGAAGCATGACAGAGATGCGTGAAGGGACGTTGTAGATCGCTTTTTGCTACTGACAGAATTGGTAAAACAACAAGGGGAGAAGCCCGAATGCAAGTTGGAAAGATAGAAAATTTCTGTATAACTTGTGTTACAAGACTTCAGAAAGGAAGGAAAGTTTCTGCAAATGTACAATTGTGCCAATTGGCTGAAGCGCCTTGTCTTCACAAAAGACTATAGAGATGGATATTCTGCTGTGGCCGGGGTCACACTCACGACTCCAGTCGCCGATCCCGCAAAAAGGGATGCCCCATGCTGGCCATCGAGCTTGGGCGCCACCCTGACCAGTAGAGCGAATCCAGGCCCAAGGTGTTGTCAAAAACGGGGCCGCAAGGCTCAAGGCAATCAAGCCAGTAACAGTATCTGAGCACTTCCCGTTCAGGTATGCACATGCTCCCTCTTTGGCACTGATGGCTACCATATAGATTTGTTCCAAATACTGATGCCTTGCAGTTGCACATATCTAAATGGCATAGGGACATGTGCACTCATTAGGAAGCTTGCTTATGAAGCTAAGTAACGGTATGGGGAGAGAAACTAGGGGGTGTGCATTGTGAATTGCCAATTCACAGTGTTGTTTTTGGCGTATGTTTCATCGATTCCTGAATTTTGCATACTTCGTTGCTGTGGTGAATTCGACTGCGTTGGAAAATCGATGATATAACTACAACGGCAGCGGCAAGCACAATAGCAAATACCATTGTGTATAAGAAATTGGACGTT